TCCGGTCGGCAGGTTAAAATAATTATACACTAATAGAAGATTTTTACGTTTATACTTTACAGAATTAGGATTTGAAATCAAATGTAACGGAGATATATGAACATATAATAATAAGACACAAAAGTTAAATAAAACCTTCGTGCAACGGCTTGTTGTGGAACATGGGTTCCGGAAGATTAAGACTCCAGACACAATATTAAAGCTCATGGACAATCTTGGTAATGTGATCAGCATTGCATATTATGTTGCCTTTGTTTTCTGGAAAAGATTTTGCCGATTGATTTGAATCTGGGTGTGACTCAAGCCACCACAGGAGGGCACTTTGCTAATATAATGCAAATAATTTTATAGGAATGCATCTAGTTTAACAAATACTTTGAAATTTTCACGAAGAGTGATAAAAGGTGCCTTTCAAGTAGGATATAGTGCTTTAAAATAATTGCAGATTTTTCCTCTTATTTTGAACTAGTCACAAGAGACTAAATTGTTAAATGTGACACAGGTTTTTTAAGTGGCGATGCTAACTGAAATTTAAGAAATAAACACAGGATACAGGGTGGTTTTCTGCCTGAAAGGGTTAGTCCAATAGGCAGAGCCCAAAATGAATGGTGGTTTATTTTAAGCTCTATTGTTCCACGATCACTAAAATTCGACATAGTCCCCCAGACTAGAAATAAATGTATGCCATTTTTTCCTCCGGTTTTATGGTTCGGTCTGAGCTTTAGTCATAAAGTAGCATATTTCATAATCATTGTGACGTTGCACATTCTCTGTATCGTAATTTTCACTTAATTAACTTAAGAGTAAACTGTGAAATGATTTTAAAAAATTTTGACTGAATTTTGACTTCTGAACAGGTTTACTAATAAATAAGATTTTTTTTTGTCTTTTTTTTTTTTTTTTTTGTAAGAAATAGCATTGAAGAATAATAAAGTTCAAACATTCAAAAACACTGAAATCTTAAAATTAACATTGTAAAATAATAAAAATGTGACATACACTTATCATTTTATAAGTAAAATTAAACTGATTAATTCTTCAAAAATTTCTTGAGCGCTTACACATTTTTACAAACTATAACTTGAAGCAAATAATTAATTATACAGCATTTCAATAATTCTAAGCACATTCATTGATCCCTGGGCAACACTTAAGATAAGAATATAAGTTGAACTATTTGCCTTTTAAAACATTTGCCCCAAACCCTGACCAACTTCCCTGATCGAAAATAAGTTTTCCAAAAGCAAAGCCCCAGCACCCCTGAAGGGGAAACTCCCACTAAAACCCCTAAGGATAAAATTTTCCCAATACACGAGTACCTAATTCACGAGTAGATATTTGACATTCTCAATTCGAAATCCATCTTTGGAAGAGAACGCCTGGTGGGGGGAGGAAGGACCATCCCCAACTCTTCCCGATCAATATTGACCGAAAGTGTGTGTCGGTCTCAAGAGGTTTACTCGGAAAACACTCTGAGCCCTTCACTCCCGCCCCGGATTTATCCCTCCCCCCCCCAGCTTAAGAGAGCGCGCGTTTCGTTTTATACCACAGAGTTCGAGAGCCCTAGGTTCAAAACTGCGACTGAATTTTCCAACCGTTTTCTGTATTGTATAAAATAGAAGTAGCAGTTTCCGACCATCTGTTTAATGTCACACACAAAACGTGCACAGTAGATGTTTATTCGGGGTGGAGGGGCAATCCTCATATGGGGAGGAAGGGACTTATTATGGAATAGCGACAGTAGGTGCTTATTTTACATTTTACCAACAAATTCATCTCGGGATTATGCGGTAGAAAAACAAATAGATTGGGTAAATAAATAGAACACGGGGAATTTAAGATTGTATATTCGTCTCGAGAGATTCAGGTTCTTGACTATGGAGTCTCATCAAACTTCAATCCGTGCATTTTAATTTAAACTAGGGTTGAGCTGTGTATTTAATGAGGTTGATCTAAAATGTTCAGAACTCTGAAAGCAGGAATTGTATACTTGGCGGTTTTTGGTCAAAGCAAATTCAGTCATGCCTATAAAGTATATTACATGCACCGACTTACAAGCCACTTTTAAAGTTTTAGAATGAAACAGTATAGGGGTTAAATAATAAAAAACTAACAACAGCCCTTTGGGGGCCAGTAGGATAAAGAAGGCTCAGGCTACCACAATTTCGCGACTAACGATATGATTGTGGCATTTCATTGTGGTCAGCATTGCAGGCAGGCGGCCTTTACTTCCCTGACAAGCTGCAACCCATCGAACTGAAACGGACCGAATCCCAGTTGTTCTCACCGACAGTTTAGAGCCTCAATCACATCACTTCGCGGCTCATGAGTTAAAACAGATATTACGAATATACAATACATACATATTAAGAATTTGATAATAACTCATTGAATGCATAATTTAATAAAGCAAACAGAAAATTTTAAAAGAAATTAGAAAAATAAAAATATATTTATATTTAATTTGTAGTAAATAATAAATAAATAAATAATAATAAAATATAATTTGAAGAATATAAAATATTCTTCAACTTTTAAAATGCAAAAATATAAGTTACGGAAAAAACATATTTTTGATGTTTATCCTTTGACTACTAAACGCGAGAAATTTAAAAAACCATTTTCATTAATTAACCAATTGTTTAACATTTACTCAATGAAAAAATTTCTCATCAACTAACTTCATTTTAAAACGCTGATTATCAAAAATATATTCGAAAACAAATTGGTATATAAAAAACAGGAATATTAGTAAAAATCAATTAACAGCACAACAGTTCTTTTTTCCTAAGCAAGAGAATATTTTAATATCCGTAATTTCTGGTTAAGTTATTAAATTTTAGTTTTGTTCAATTAATTTATTAAATGTTTTTTCCTGAAGGTATGTTTGTTGAGCAGACGATTTTAAGAGCAGAACTACAAATTTTCAATCTTAAAAGAACATTTTTAAAAGTTTTATTGATAATTATTTATTTAAGTCATGTTTTAGAACACAGCGTCATATTTTAATAAAAACGAAAAATTTAAAACTTAAATTTAAAATGAAATCTAATATGATAATATCTCGCACTTAAAATTGTGATTTATAACGCAAAAGCAAACGACTTCAAGTAATGAGCTCGAATTGATGCAAAATATGTTTCAAAAACAATTTTGTACCTATTTCATAATTTCGTTCTTTCAACAACTTAAGCATTTGTGTTTATAACAAACTCCAATTAAAATCAAAGTTTACAAAAGATACCAGACATTATTACGATATCAGACGTTAACACCTCTAACAGCCAAATCAGATAATAAGTTGTTAAAATAATAAAGAACGAAAGCAAACGATAACTGATAAATTCTAACCTCTCTTCAATCAAGTTTTTTTTTTTTTTCTCCTTCCTTATAAGCTGATTTATTTTTTTCCCCTTCTTTCCAACCTTTAATCAGTGTAGTGAGAAAGATAGGGATGAGTGTTTTCGCTACCGGACCCTGCATGATCATCGTCATCAACTTTCGTCTTTCTATCTGTCATCATTGCTTGGAAAACGATCTCACCTCCCCCCCCCCTCTCTCTCTATAACCATTCTATTTGGCGCATCGATCATCATTTCATCATCCAGTTTCACTGCATCCGTAACGATCTGAGAGCAATTAATGTCTTTTGCGGCGACCGAAACCAGCGGCGATAAGGAGGCTTTCTTAATTTTTTTTTTCCTCTCATCTGTCATATGTTTTCTTCGTTAATGAAGATATTTCGTATTTGCAGAGCAACAAATTACAATCATTAGATAAGACATTTCAATGAATGTGTAACCGTGGTTTATTAGAAGAAAAAAAAAAGAGGAAGAAAAAAAAAAAGATAAGATAGACGAAAACAATGTTGTTTTATCAGAGTTCAGTAAAGAAAAAAATATCAACGTGATTTGCGGCAAATGCCGCTAAACATAAAAGGTTCCATTTAAAAATTTGTTATGAAACAAATCACTCCACAAAAAAAATTGTTTAAATAAAAGATTAATTTAAATATTGACATTCTACACCGTTATCTAAAGTGTTTTTGTTTAACGACAGCAAATAATTGTTAAAAAAATAGCAATTAATTTAATAGTTTTCCGTTGTAAATTAAACTAAAAAAAAATAAAAAGATGAAATTAACACTCAGAAAATTTTTACTGTCGAATTCACTGGAAAATTAACGTGAAATTTACTTAAAGATATATGCCAAAAGAATAAACAAATAAATAAATATAAGATTTACCAAAAATGAAGGCCGAGAAACAATTGTCGGGTTTACTACAAAATGAAAATGCCTAAACGCGAATAATTCATAACAATATTTAAAAAAGAGCTTTTTATATTATTTATTAATTATACGTATGCAGATTCAATTTTATTCATTGATAATATTATTTATTGAAAAATAGGTATTTGTGGTGATTTTTAGGTATAATGAAGAAAAAAAATTAATAAAAAAGCACTCTCGAAAAGCAGAAAAAAAGCGCCGATGACAGTTGAAAGAGTCCGTAAGAAACGTGCCCCCATACATGTTTTTTAAAAGCATAATTGTTTCTGCAAGTTCTTATCGCATTTCATTTATTTCGATTTAAAAAAATTTATTTCACAAATTTATAATTAACTAAACAATGCAATTTTTTAAAAGAGGAATTAGCTTTAAAGATTTTAATAATTGACATAAATTTATAAGATTTTATGCAAAAAACACTTTTCAAATGGCTTTAACTTTTGCAAAACAAATAATATAGTATTGCATAGTAATCTTTAGAAGTTGAGGGAGAGTCAGCGGGGTGGAGTCCATTAGTTTTATATTAATATTTTTAAAAATCCAAACAATAGTAATCTTTATGGAAATAAAAATACAAATAAAAATTAAGTATGTTTTAACAAAACGCGTGGTTAAGTAATGCTCTGTTGTATTTAACGCAATTCACGTACAAACATGTTAAATAAAAGTGACTTAGTAACAGAAAGAAAAAAAAGGAAAAAAAACTTACTTGTTTGTGCATTTCTACATTGAGACCATAAGACATTTCGTAATACTGAAAATAAAGAAAAATAGTCACTCATTTATAACAAATTTAAAAAAAAATTAAACAGTATACAGTAGGTACTAACTAGTAAATAACTAGACGTTTTGTGAAAGTCACTCTTTTAGGATCTTTGTCAACTTTTCTGCAAATCAAATTTTAATTGTTGCATTATCGAAATCCGGAGAATAAAGTTAAGAATAATCATTGTGTGGTAGCGCTTCGTGCTCTCGTGCCACAGGTCCTTGGTTCGATCCTCCGGCCTGGCAAGGTTGACTCAGCCTTTTATCCCTTCAGTGGGTCGATAAAATGAGTATCAAGCAGGCTTGATTGGGGGTTTCGCGTTCGGCTGACCACCCAACCCAAACATCTGCTCTCGCATCCGGGAGCCCAAAGTTAAGAAAATTGAGATGGGCACAGTAGGCTTTAGCCCTCTATGGGCTGTCACGTCACTGAGTTTAGTTTAATCAGGGAAAATAAGGCAGAATTAAAAGCATCAAAACTAGTTTGACCTGTTTATCTATCAAATAGAAATTATTAAGGCCAATTTCAGTTTCATACAGAAAAATAAACTAATTTTAAATTAACCTTTAACATAAATACTGATTTGTTAGATTTCTATGGAATGTTTTAATTTTTCCTCATTGAAATATTTTTTTAACCCTAGTGCGTAAGCAAAAATTACTCAATTTTTAATAAAAAACTATAATTATATATTAAGAGCAAACCACCAAACACCAGTATACAGATACAAATTGACAATACAGATATTTATTTGTGTATAATGATTATGAAAATTAAAATCTTACCATTACATAATGCCTTTGCATCTCTGTTTTTTCAGTTGCTAATTTTTCACACTCTAATTTTAAACTGAAAAAAAAAAGACTTAATTATCATACCAGAATAAATTAATTCTGTGCTTAGCACAGTAATATTAAATAAAGCACTTTAAGACCACTTGCGAGTTAGCTTTTGCACTATTAAGCTCGTTTGAGAGATATTATTACTCCTGTGCTTAGCACATTAGCGTAGCACATCCGAAGTCATTGGGTTTAGCAGAGTAAAGTAGGGTTTTTAAACTACACTCATTTGAAGAAAGTAATAATGATTGCAGGAGGTAATGATGTTACGTCACGGATTATTATGAAATTTTTGTCACAAAAATCCGGTGATCATGATCAAAAAAAATTTTCAATAACGATATACACAGGATAATTTTTTTAAAAACCAATAACTTTGAAAAAACTACTAAATAGCATTAGGAAAACAATTATTTGTCATCACACAGAAAGGTTTAACCAGAACGACAATTAAGGGATAAAACAAATAGACAACTTTCCAAGAGAACTATAGCGGTTATTGAAAAAAAAAAAAAATTAAGCAATAAATAAAAAAGGAGAAACGCGCGAAATCATGCAAGGTCACGTGAGCGTCGGAGCACGTCCAATGAGGAGCAAAGGAGACATAGAAGGAAAGCAAACATAATAACACCAGTAAAAATTCTCTCCTTTCTCATAAAACAGAGAAACTAGATACGGTTGGCCTAACTTCCAAATAATGTAGACAGCGAAGATAGATCGGGTGCGTAGGGGAGGTGGTCTAAAAACGCACGCATCGCAGCGTTTGCGTTTTACGGATTGGCAACGCGAAAGATTTTCGCAAAAAGCAATTTACCGTGAAAACAGAAAAGAGATGAACAAAAACAACGGCATATGAAAAAGAGAGCGGTCACACGTGACCGAAGAAGAGATGGCGCGTTGTTTTCTTTTCTCCTCTGCATCGCTCTTCTTTGATTGAGAGAAACTAAGGCTCTCTTCTTATTTCTTTTCCATCTACTTTTACTATTGTAAGTTTCTCAATAGAAAAATGATTGCATTTTTCTCCCATAAGACTGTGAAAGACGGCCATGAAAATGAAATATGTATAAATAGGCCACTCATATATATCGTGTATTAAAAAAAGGTGATACAGTAAGTAGGAATAAAATTTACTTTTGTAATAATAAATAAAAATAAGATTTCACACTAAGAAAACAAATAAAATTTAGATTTTAAATCGGACCACAGATAACAAATAAAATTTAGATTTTACATTAGCCCTAAAATAAATAAAATTAAAAACTAAATAAAAAAAAACTTGTTTTAAGAAAGGGAGAAACATTATTCGTAATTTTATGAATTTAAAATTAGCATTAAATTTGGTTCTTTTAACAAGAGTCCTGATTTTTTCAATCAATAATAGTAAACTCTGTTTTTAATTTTGTAAAAAATCTCGAAAATTATTTGTTTTCGAATAGATTGTAATACAAAATCATAAATTGTAAATATAAAATCGTAGATATCTCATAAATCGTAAATACAAAATGATACCAAACAATGTAAAATTAAAATTAAAAAAAAAACACGCTCACACAAAGTACGTCACTCAACTTTATACCAATTTACTGGAATTCGAATTCTAATTTACTCGAATACTCGAAAACTTTATACCAATTTCCTATTCTTAAATTTAAATTAGATTAAAAAAAATATTTGATACATAAAATGTTATAATTAAAAATCAAGATCGAAATGATTAAAATAAAACTATTTAGTATTGATAACAATCAGGGTTGGGTTTTTGACGTCAAAAAGTGGTTTTTGACATGACAAGGGTATAATACTGGTTTAAACCGTCAAAAACCCGTCAAAAATGTCAAAAACTAAAGTTTGCCAAAAAAATATATAAACTTCAAAACTACCAACAGTTGCCATGCATTATATTGAAATTTAATTATACTATAGGTAATCAGCAGGTTTTAAAATATTTTTTAATTAAAATTAAGGTAAAATAACAGATTTAAAATCTCAGAAATTTATATTCAAATGCATGTGCAGAAAAATTTTGCACAAAAATTTTTTAAATATTTATATTTTGAAAAAAAAAATTTTTTTTTTTGATACTTAAGAAAATTAAAAGTTTATTACTATGCATTTTTGACATATAAGGAACATATAACTAATATTTATAAGGAACTTACAAGTTATGTTGTATAAATACAAACTTGATACAAGTGTATGAAAAAAAATTTTAATGTTATACCGAATATCTTTATTATCCAGTATGTTAATTTGAATTTAAAAGTAGTTATATTTGTGAATAATGATAAATATAATTCATATTGTTTATTATATTTATTTATAATTATTACACTTATCATTTTAAAACAATTTTTACCTCTTAATTTTTTTCCCCCACTTGTATTAAGAATACAAATAATGCATATCTTGAAAGCAAGAAGTAATTATTCAACAGCTGAATATTTAGATATTCAACAAAACTATGTATATAGTATTCAGCAAAATGAAATTCACAAGTATTTGGATAAACTAAATTTTCAGCATAGTAAATGAATAGGCTGAATATACTGTAAATCGACACTAACTACTCTGTGTATTTAACAGAAAGCACTTAAATTTGTATTGTCTTATGTTAAAAAGATTATTAAGAAGATTTAAAAGAATATTAAAAAGATTTTTCTTTAAAAGATGTCTAATGTACAAAACTGCTAATGTTTATCTTTAAAAATGTCTAATTTTTAGTATAATCTATACTATACACTAAATTTGGTTATAAATAAATTTCTTAATAATATCACTGCAGATTTTCAATAACACATGAAAATGAATACATAATATTACAAAAGATGTGAGTTTTCAAAAGTACAAGATTTTGGTTACTATTCAAAATATAAGTGTTTCTTCAAAATTTTAAATTTATTTTTTCTAGAACATATTTAGAAACACTATCCTTTATAAAAAATATATAAATTTTATGTATTAATTAAATTTCACATATGAATATAGGTTTTTGACATTTTCGACATTTTTGACAGTGAGGTTTTTGACGTGACGGTTTAAACCATGGTTTAAACTGTCAAAAACTGTCACATGTCAAAAACCTGCCAACCCTGATAACAATATATACATAATTTATAATAACCATCCCATATTGGTGATAGCCAGGACATAGAAACTTTTTTTTAAATTTATTTGTTTATTTTTCTTTTCTTTTGGAATGAGTAGTAATAATAATGGAATAAAATAAGATATAATCTATTTTGCACTGACTTTTAAGCAGAAAAAAACAAACAGTATACACCTATTACTAGCATAAATTTGTAAACATTAATATAGTTTCTAAAATGAAAACTATTGTGAAGGAAATTACTAACTTCATTCACTTATAAATATAAAATAAATATACTGTTTTTTCATATTTATATATTTTTGAAGCGAAGTTTATGATCAAGTAATATCTTCCCAAGTCAGTTTTTCTTGGGATTATTCACCTAATTGTGAAGGTTACTTTAATTCACTTTAAAATATTTCGTGAATGGCCATACAGGACCTACATTTTTCCTAAAATGCGAGTCAGGATTTCATTTTATTACTTTAAAATGTGTTATTTCTTTTATTGTTATTTTTATAATTGTTCAAAAGAATGAACAATAATAAAATGATGTTGTGTATAATTTTTGTACAGAAAATATAATGTACTTACCTATGATATTGTGTTTGTAGGAAGTCAAACTCCTGTTTTATTCTATCACAAGATTCAGCTACAGTAAATTTAAATGGCTGGCCACCCTGAGGAGGTGGGCCCTGAAAAGAAAAAAAAATTATTAGAAAATTAATTAAAAGAAAAGAAATTATTCTCTATTTTGTAATTAAACATATCTACCGGTTAATTAAAAAGAAAGGAGAATCCATAAATTAAGACAAAATTTTAGTCCGTTTATTTCAAATATTATTTGAATCATTTTCAAAGTTAAACATTAACCCACATAACTGCCAAATTAACTGATGCAATTTTTGTAGATGCTATAAAACTATGTCCATGTCATACTAGCTTTCAGATATGTCCCGACCTTATCCTTTCATCTCATTAAAGTCATAAAAGCTAAGTTTTGATTATTATGTGTGAGATGCTGCTGCTGCAGGACAGGAACAGTTTGTTATCCGACGAATGGAGATCGATTACGCCTTGTATAGAACTGAAAATAAGAGTCCACGCTATCGTACAAGGCAGGGAGATGGTAGGACATGATCTACAAACACCTAAAACAAACTTAGGCCTATTTCGGCAATATTGTAGAAAAATTTAATAATAGTGTTTAGCATTCAAAAAGATAATTTATAAAAAATACATTTTTCATAATGTTAATATTAAAATTAAAAGGTATCTGTTTTTATCTTCAATAAAATAAGAAACCTTGTTTTTGAAATCGCCCTAGTAACTATGGAATAATACGGTGGTTACATTAGAAATAAAAATATATCAATTTATCAAAGATATAAAAATCACAGACTTATAAAAATATATTCCAAAAATTATTAAAAGAATAATCTTTTTACACTTGTAAAGTTAAGAGAATTAATTTCAGTTAAACTTTTCAAGCAAATTGTAGCAATATGTCCACAGCCTTTTTAAATTGTTTCATTAATCACTTTAAAAACGAACATAAAAAAAAAACCTAATTTATAAGCGCTGACAATGCTGCGGATTTTAATTCAATATTTTCACGCTACACTACCCCCACATTAAAGCCACACTTGAAAGAAGGCCCAATAGCTGTAGTAAATCACTCTCTGCCGTTTTTACACGACAATTACGGGAAATAAATTGACAAACAAAGCTATCAAAAAACACCCTCATCACAACGGTGAAATGGTTACACGAGAAATTAAAATAAATGTTAAGAGAAGGATTTGGAGTGGCTCGGCGATCTAAAAAAAAAAATATCAGCATACTTATTTTGCCGCCCTATTAATATTCCGAAAACCTACTCGAAAAGCTGTAAAATAATGGCTTTAAAATCCCGGCAAATGAGGCGTCGAGAGGCTGCTCCTGTAACCGCAAGCACCTTGTTTCCGCCCAAGCCATTGATCGACCACCCCCCACCCCCGATCCAACAACTGCCCGGGCTAATTAATGTCTCGGGCAATTTAATGGGGCGCCGTTTTAATATCGGAGACCCTCTCTTTTGTAATTAACAACTCCTTCGGCCCATTGTGGCGAGGTGGAAAAGGGTTGTCGAAGAGAAAATTTTTAAAAACGTTCCATCTCCGCCCCGCTCTTCACCCTTTAATGGAAGGGAGACACATTATTTAATGAGGGTTATTAGGGGCGCCGCAAATGAGTACTCGCCCTATTGACTACTACTTCCCCCTAAGTAGGTTATGAACACCCCCCATACTCAAAAAGGGGGGACGAACAGTGTAAGAAAATAAAATGCATCATCAAATTAAAACACCAGAATATTTTGATCAAGGATATATGTGTGCAGGGGCGTCTCTATCTCTCGAGTACTCTTTCGAGGGATCGCCCTGTGGTTAAGTGGGGGGTGGAAGGATAAAATTAAGAGAGGGGGTGGATGGCACTTCAAATATCGTTAGAGAAAACTCTAACGTAACGAAAGTTGGAGAGTTCTCAGTAATTATCACTATCCTTTTCTTTCCGTGCTAGACGTTTTGACGAAAATTTGGAAAATTTGTAGTGCCTGGTTCTTCATTCTTCGAAAACCTTTTCACCGAAGTTCAGGATAATTAGTGGTTCCTAATTTTAGGAACTGGCGTTCCTTTCTATAAAGTACATTTTCTGTTTATTTTTTTAATGCGAAATAAAAGAGTGGAAGTTAAGTGATTCTACAGAATTTCAAAAGGAATGAGAAAGCGGTGCAATTATTTCTCTCTTTCGAATAATTTCGTTACTGATTCATTAAGGAAACAAGTTTGGTTAAAATTTTCATGTTAAGTGTATGTTTGTAAGGAAAAATCAATTTAAAAAGGGCTCGCGTGTGCCGTTGTTATTCTTTGGACATAAAGTTATTTTTAACAGTTCTGTTGCGGCTGTTAACATTCTAAATAAAAGTTGTAAGACATTAGACGTCAATATTGTGTGCAGAAAAATATTTATTGATGTTTGCATAAAGAAGGTGAAAATAAATGTTGAAAACATACTGAAATCGTTGCGCGGCTATCATAAGTTGAAGAAAAAAAAATGTACAAAATACGACAGCAATACGTTAAAAAATATATTATAACTAATATAATATATTTAAAAATACATTTATTGTAATTAAAAATATATTTAAAAATACATTTGAAAAATACATTTAATATACTTGAATAGCAAAACTTATATATTTTTAACGTAAGAATAACAGTTCTAAATAGATATTTGTAATTACTCTTACTATAACCGATAAAATGACTGTGAAACGTGCTACTAATTTTTTAAGAATAATGAATTAATGTGGTTCAAGAGACAGAAACAGCTTTATTGTTCCTAACTCGTACGGCATTCCACACACCACTAACCATGACCAAGGACCTAGCGTCATTTTTCAGGACTAACTTTAAACGCTATGATAGGAATGCCACGTAATTTTGACCTTGGTCAGACGACGTGGACAGCGACTTAACTATTACCCCTGTCCTGTTTCAAAATTCCACACCACAACCAAGGAGAGGTAGATACTTTATTTACGTCGCACTAGAGCTGCACAACGGGCTTTTGGCGACGGTCTGGCAAACATTCCCGAAGATGATCCAAAGACATGCCATCGCAATTTTGATCCTCTGTAGAGAGGATGGCTCCCTGCTTAACCAGACGACCTATGAGACGCGAAGTCGAACACTTTACGGTAGAACAGTGTAACGAGGAACGATACCGTGCACCCTCAGTCTCTACGCAGATTGATCAAAGTGTTCACCAACCCGCTAACTGATCGCAGACAGTGACGCTTGATTTCAGTGTTCTACTGGGAACCGTGTCTTTGCTATCAGTCCACTGCGGGACCAACTAACGAGAGGACTTTCAGCCACGTCTGATTTAAAGTGCGCCTTGCTGTGTATACACTCCGGTTGTTTTATCGGCAGTCTGAATCGAACTCACTACCCCCAGCTATCTAACGCGGTGAACGATGCCTTAACAAACTGAACCAAGCAGCGCTCCGTACGGCAAGTGAAAGAGAAAGCACAGCTTTAATCCTTCATCCAAAACAAGCACTTCAGTATATTATCAAAATATCTTTTAAATATTTCACAATTTGTGAAGGGGGAAACAATTTGTCAAGGGGGAAAATACTTTAAGTAAATACGAATTAGTAACAATTCTTTAAGAGAGTAAGAAACTGAAAGAATACTTCAGACAGCAAAGATAAACTAATAAAAAAATTGATACCATATTAACCGCAGAATTAAAAACCAATCATCGGTTTGATAAATCGTCAATCAACTAATAAGATGATTAGGTCCTTCAAGCAATCTATCACAATTATTTTTTCCATCGGTGTTTGATTATATTATTTAGATTTATCATATCCACAGGGACATTAGAAGACAACATACAATTAATGACCAATATTGTAATTGATGAAGATTTTAAAATACCAAGGTAAAAATTTAAAAATTAACTATGTAAACAAATAAAAAATACTGTGTAAATTTATTATTCGCTAAAAGTTCTCAAAAAACACAACTCGTTACAAAAATAAAAATGCTCTCAGAATCGATATAAATGTAAGATATTCATTGGCTGAGCTTATTACAAATTCCTTAGGTTGTATCATGCGATTTGTTTAGTTTCATTGATAAATTTACTTTTGATCAGGAATGATTTTTGGAGCAATAAGTGTTTGAAAAAAAAAGAAGGAAAAAAAAAAGAAATCTCGTGAATTTAACTTTGGCTCATTTGTTCATGCAGTAACTTTTTCTCACCTTTTTAATATATTTATGCCATCAGGTTTAATTTTAATAGCCATGTGTTCGTTATTTTAAATTGCCAAATGCAAATAACAAACTTTTAATACGAAATTTAAATAGTCGAATAGGATGAAACTTTTATGAAAATAAAATATGTAAACAAAAACGCAATTCCCGATACTTCTTGAGTAAGTACCTACTGTTACTTGCATATAATTGAATGTTTACCTTTCAGATATTCGGTATTAGCTACATGCTTTCAAGTTCTCTTCTTTTTTTTTTTTTTTTTTGTTTTTTNTTTTTTTTTTTTTTTTTTGTTGAATAATTTATTTCCTTTTTAAAACATTAATAGGAACATGTCATTATTTTTTATTATTATTATTTTTTATTATATTTTATTTATAATTTATTTACTTATTTATTATTTTTCATTCATTATTTATTTATAATTTATATAATAACCTTTAGTGGAATCCGGGTATTCAATCAAAAAATGTTTCGATCACAACACGCATGATTACTTACATATTCGATGTTTGGATTTTTCTCTTTTCTTTTCATCTTGTACTTAAATGTTAACGGTACAAAATTTGTATCTGTTCGAAAAACTGGGTGGATACGATTGTTATTTTTAGGTAATATATTAGGAAAAAAAAAAAGCATGCGTGAAGTAATAAATTTAGAATAAATTGCAATAAATTTAGGAAGAATGGAAAGAAATTTAATCAAAAGACAACCAGAGGCCTTTTTTTCCCTTTTCTATTTCAAAAATTATTCAGGGGAGAAAATGTTACACTTTAAAAAACAGAGCTTGTGAAATTTAATTGTAGTTAAACATGAGATGTTTTATTTCAAAAAATATTAAACTTGGCAAGAAAAATGAAAAATGCCGTTAA